CCCCCGGGCTCCGCGGGCCCCTCTCTAAAGGCTTCTCCTGGCTCCCCGGCTCGGGAGCAGGGGGGTGACAGGGCTGGGCGGGGGGGTGATGTGCAGAGCCCCAGGGGGCTGCTCGCCCAGCACTCCCCAGCTGGCTGCTGGCTGCTTCCCGCATCCCTCTTCTTTACTCCAGCAATCCAGAGACTGGTGAGCGGTAAGGGGGGGGAAATGGGGCCAGTCCTTAGATTCAGTCCTCCCAGAGGGACAGGAAGGAACAGAAGTCAAGAGAAATGCTCTTTCTCCTGCTCTCAGCAGCATTAAAATTGCTTGAATGTACCGAGAGCCCAAAGCTGAGGGACTTCTTTAAATCTGGTGTGTCTGAGTGAATGTCTGTGAAGTGTTGGGGATCAGAGCTGGAAGAGAGTAGGTCTGGAGCTATTGCACAGTACATGTTGCTCTCGAGTGCTGCTCTGCATGGTGGAGGTTACTCCCTCTGCTGTGTTTTTATCAGAGGTGGAAATTACAATCTTTTTCTATTTATTTCTAGTGAGGAGCAGGATGAGCTGCATTACCAGGATACGGACTCAGATGTGCCGGAGCAGCGGGATGGCAGGTGCAAAGTCAAGTGGACACAAGAAGAGGTGAGTGACAGCCTGGCACTTGCTGAGAGCAGATGCTTTGGGGTAGGCCTCTGGCATGACACCCAGTGCTTGGGTGCCTCTGCCCCAGCTCTCACCTACTGGCCACGACACCGCCTACTGCTGTCTTGCTACTGGTGAAGACCATGTGTCTGTTTTGCTGATGTGAGCTGAGGCCTTAATGAGGCTGGGAGGTTCGGGGGAGTTTGAAGTGTAGCCTGGAGAGCAAGAGCTCCGAGCACTTTAGCTTAATCATGTGAGTCCTGAGCAAGGCATGTGCTGCCTGCAGTACGCTTGTGAGCAAAGAGGGGTTCTGGAGGATGGCTGACGCCTCAGCAATCTTAATTGCACAGTGGAACTGTCCTCCCTTTTCTCTAGCAAAAGCAGGGACTGTTGAGACTGTTGGGACCATGGCTTAGTCATCTTGACTGAGAGCCTGAAATTAGTTGGGAAATTGTATTCCCTTCTCCCAGTTCCTCCACCATTTTTGTTCTGTGTGAAAACTACAAGATGTCCTGTTTCCCCTGGGGTCTGAACACCAAGTAAGGTGGTCTTTGTGCTGGGATCAAAGCCTCGGGCTCATGTTGGGCAGGAAATTATTTCATGCTTCTGTTTGCCCTGCCAGTGCACACAGGCAAGTATGCCCGTAGCAGGCTCTTTTTATGAGCTGTAGGCTATAGCAGCGCTCATGAAGGAAATGCTGTAGAGCCCCATAACACTGGAAGACAGTAGACCATCAGGCTAGTGGTTAAACCAGTTGGCTTTCTTGGCCAGGGAAGAGCAGTGTGTGGGCTGTGGGAGATAGACCGTCTGGTCAGGGGTGTACTGGGGCTGGATCAGCAGGTAGCCTTGGCCACAGGGTTTGAACCAGACTATACTGGAACAGAGCTGAGTCCTTGTTTTCTACTTGCTGTATGAGTTTGCCCTAGTACAGAGCCCAGAACCAAACAGTCTGTTCCAGTTGGGTTCCAGGCACTGGAGTGCTGCTAAAGAACGGTGTGGGCTACCTTCCTCCCCTGAATGCAGAATGCCAAATAAACCTTCTTGACAGTTCAAAATACCTAGCTTGTTCTCTTGATGCCATCAGCCCAGGGGTGCCTGTGGGGTGTGTTGCCTCTGTGTATGTGAAAGTGGATGTCTTTGTTCTTTGCAGGATGAGCAGCTGAAGATGTTAGTAAGACATTATGGGCAGAATGACTGGAAGTTCCTGGCCAGTCACTTTCCTGTAAGTGACCCCTTGCCCAGCTGGGAATTCTAGTGTTTTCATGTCACTTCTTGTGCTCATTGCACTGGTTCTCTGTGTCTGTGCACCACCTTGCACAGTGGGGCTCTGTTCTGTGTCTGCAGCTCCAGGCTGTGAAGTGGTGCTTCTTTAGGGCAGGGAGACACCCTTGCACAGAGCATTTTCAAGGGTGAGTCTCTTGGAGCTGGGGTGAGAAATTGAGGCTCCTTTTGCTGTGCCCAGTGTCTTGGTCATAGTATGTATTCTCCATGTGCTTCTGCAGGTTTTTTGTGGGAGAGCCTGGTGTGGGGGGGACACAACTGCTATTGCTATAGGGGCTTTTGGAGCCTCGGGTCTAATACGTGGCTATTCTCATTCCTTTTCTAGAACCGCAGCGATCAGCAATGTCAGTACCGGTGGCTGAGAGTGTTGAATCCAGACTTGGTGAAGGGCCCTTGGACCAAAGAGGAGGACCAAAAGGTAAGTCAGGGCTGAGAGTATCTGAGTGTTGGACTGTAACTGTCTGCAGAGGACAGAGGTGTCAGACCCTTCTGTAAGCTGTGGGTAATTCTTTCCAGTGGTGGATACCTTGAGAGCAGCACTCTGACCTGTTCTGAGCAGCCTAATGCAGCCGCAGTTGTGATGTGCAGGAGTAGGTCCAGGCCTCTTCAGCTGAACACCTTCTCCCTTTCAGACAGTACTGCTACAGTAGGCTGCCAAGGGAGAGAGCAGTAAAGGGAATTAATTCATCTGCCTACTGGCAGATTTCCACCTGACCTGGCCATGTTGGACCAAAAAGAAAATAAAACTGGCATTTCCTGTGCCACAGTAGACAGACTGAAGTGAATGTCTGAGATCGGCTAGGTGAATCATGACTTCTGGGTGCCTGTTTCTCTGCTGATTCCAGAGTGAGCTGAGAGGGGCCAGCTCAGACATCTTGATGTGCTTAAGAAAAGCTGGAATGAATTCAACTTTTACCAAGGTTTTCCGCTGCAAAATGTCCTAGTTTGTCAATATTTTCTGCAATGCTTCTGCTCCTCCATTTCTTTCCCTTTTGGTCCCATTACAGGCTGTTACAGTCCTTTTCCCTCCCATCTGTGTCTTATGTCAAGCATGTCCTAAGGAAGCTTCTCACGATGTCCTTCCACCTTCGTACAGGAGAGCGGTTGCTGCCTGCTTTCCCCTTCCTTTGCATGTCCTGACTGCCAGCCCACCCATCCTGGCCAGGCTGGGCTCCAGCTTTCTCCTCCTGACACTGCACAGTCGTTTGCCCTGCAAGTGCTCCAGCTTCTTGGCCTGTGCCTGTTTGGTGTCCTTGGTCCATATGTGTGCTTGATAGTTATGAGTCTGCAGTAGGGACATTTGTTTTGGGCCAAGAGCACTGTGAGCATCACCTATCTACCCACACCTTTCAGCTGAGCACAGCTGGCCAGGATACAAATGCTCTTTGAAAACCTTCAGCCTCCTCTCTAAGATTTTGGTGGGCTGAACGTTGCAGGTAATAGATTGTTTCATTCTGACTATGCCGTGGACATACTCCAGGGGCTCAGAACAGATTCTGTGCCCAGAAGCATTTGCACTCAGCCTCGGGCAGAAATGACAAAGCCCTGGGTGAAGGGGAAGCAGCAAAGTGGATGGCTTTCAAGTGAATGTGGCTTGTTTATGCTTTGGAGCTCTGGCTGTGTGTCCTGGTACTAGTGGAGCATGGAGCAGCAGCCCTGGCATGCCCTTGGTGTAGCACACTGTTAAAGGGAGGCTGTGCCCAGCTGGCAGACCTGTGTGGAGCTGATGGACCTGGCCATGTGACAACAGTCCCCTTGGTAGGAGGCAAGGCAGAGGAGCCTTGGAGCATGTGGGAGTTGGCTCCTGCTCAGAAATGGATGGGCGTGTGTTTCTAAATCTGGGTCCCTCTGCTCCTGGTGCACAGGCCAGTTTCCACTCCATCTTCTGTGAGCTGTTGTCTGCATTCACGGGTGCCATGTGGCAAAATGTTTGCATGGAATCGGTTTCTTTCAGAAATTCAGCTGGATCATTGCTCCTGCAGGTGTTGGTACACCTGGTTGTCAGTGCTGGATCCCTCCAGCTCTTTTTCCTAAGGGGCTTTTCTCTGTCTGCCTTTACCTGGTCCCAAAAGAGGTGGAGAGCAAAGCCTGAAGGTGATTGTATTGACCTTCTCCTCTATTCCATTTCCTTATTTTCTTCCTGCTCTCTTCAAAGGTAATTGAACTGGTTAAAAAATATGGCACCAAACAATGGACCCTGATAGCCAAGCACCTGAAAGGGCGATTAGGGAAGCAGTGCCGGGAACGCTGGCATAACCACCTGAACCCTGAGGTGAAGAAGTCCTCATGGACAGAGGAGGAGGATCGCATCATTTTTGAGGCCCACAAGGTCCTGGGGAATCGTTGGGCAGAGATTGCCAAGCTGCTGCCTGGGAGGTAGGACCTCTTTGCTCACTGGTGTCTTCACAGCTGAGTGGCCTGTGCAGATGCATGTATTGGGCTCATAAGATGGGGCTAGAGAGTGTGTAGGAGTTGTTAGCTGTGCTTTAAAGCTGCTGTAAATGGTGATTTCTATTTCCTTCTGCTTTCTCTGCAGGACTGACAATGCTGTGAAGAATCACTGGAACTCCACCATCAAGCGGAAG